CCAAGGTGATTTTTGTGAGTTACAGGAGCAGAATCCTGATGACAGCACCACTTGCTAACTGAAAGCAAGAAATTATGAGGTCTTTTACCACTCAGGTTGTTTCTTGAAGAGGCCACAGAGTACAGACCCATGTGCAAAACTTGGCCCTACAAAGTCAGGGCCAGTGTCCTGCTTTTCAAGGGTCATCCCTTTAAAAGCCAATGTCCTGATGCAGAGGGACAGGAGCAGGGACTGCAGGGAAGGACCTGTAGTGCTCATGGGAGCACCAGAGGAACCATGGGTCCACCTATTTTCCAAGGGAAAAAAGCAGAGACTACACAACACATGTAGTAGGGGAGCTTCATGCTGGTGTCGTCCTGTCTATGATTAGTGTGCTCTTACAGCTGAATATGCATTCCTTTGCCCACAAAAAGCTTTCTTAACACTTTTGCCTAATTTCCCACATCCAGATCCTAAGGTGAAATTCCTTAGATGTTGCCAAACCAGTTATTTTTCCTCCAAATGAAAATTGTTTGGGTAATACAGGTTTACCTTGGCAGCAAAAGACATGACTTACTTTTCCTCCAATAAACACAGAGATGCTGGAAAAAACACCCTCAAGATGAACTAACAAGATCTCAGCATTTATACTCATTCCTGGAGCTTTCTCTGAGTTAACTTATCAGTACATTTTCTGGGTGGCAGCAGCAATGCTAGCTAAAATGTAAGCATATTTGCTAGCTTTGAAGTTTAACAGGAACTAAATCTCTGTCTGAATTAGAGTTTAAATCCACAAGCACCATAAAGGCTTAACAGTAAGTGCCAACAGCTGTACACACTAAATCAGTTTCTCATGCCAAAAATACAACCAAATGCTAGTATGCATGGATGCAAATACTGAAATACAGGTATGTTCATGTAAACCAGAGTAGACTGAAACTTCTGTTTGCTTACTTAGTACTGTCTGCTTCAAGGACACTAAAATTTATGTTGTGGGGGGCTTTTTATAGGTTTTTTAGTTTGTGCATTTTTTATCACAGGAGAGAGTGTGATGCATTTAACTGTATGGTTAAATTTTGACAACAAAACTAAAGGCTTGCTTTGTCATCAGAAACCCCAAGATGGCAATACAGTCTTGTTTTTCATTGCTGCTTCTAGCTATTATTATTATTATTTTTATCATCATAATTATTATATTGCGGTACATGGAACGGATTTGTGATTTTCTCATTTGCTGACATCTAAAAGCCTTGCTCATTGCTAAGGATTATTTGTGCAAAAAATTGAAAACTCCAACTACTTTGTTGTTAACTGAATGCATGAATACTGTGCATGACCTGGACTTATTAAAAGATTCCATTTTACAATGTCAACCAAATAGACATATCTGCTCAACTTTGGCTTCATTTTAAAGACACACAAAACATGGTTAAAAAGAACTACACTTGTACATTATTTTCAGCTTAACCTACTCCTACATAAATTACCTTTTCAGGTGGCAGCCTGTGTTGGTTCTCTACATCCTGATCACTTTAAAATGAATTCTCACCAGGACCCTTTTGCTTTTCAGTGTTCAGAGAGCTTTGGCAGAGCCCAGGTACCCTGTTCTGATGCCGTTAACTTTTGCTGCAGAGAGCACAGCGAGCAAGCGAGGGCCAGCGTCCTTCACCTTGATGCTTGAGGAGAGAAACTCAGATTTATCAAATAGGCTGCTCCCCCTGACTGCTGCCCCTGACTTCAGAAAGTCATAGGAATAAAACACAAGGGGAAAAAGCTGTGATTTCAAGTGGGTTAGCTGATATGTGGTAGGCCAATGAGAGATGCATGCACAGGGCTGTACGGAGATGAAAGATTAGGGTCTCCCAGGAAAGTCACTCCCACTCCTGCCCCACCCTTGTTAAGTATCAGGTTTAACAGCACAGGGCTCAGGTAAAGTTGGGTGGAAGTGCAAACTTCCAATCAGACAGATTTTCTGTGTTCACTTTATCCAGCAGTGCTCTGAAAGAAATTAATTTCCAATAGCAGGTAATATCAATGAAAAATTCTTGTAGTGTGTCAGGAAAGATGTTGAGACTAATGCTGACAAACAACCAAAGGAATAAGAATTGCTTAATAGTGGGGAAATGTTACTCAAAAATAGATAAATAATATTAGAACTCTCCAGGATCATTATAGTGTTAGAAGATAATGAAGATAGAGGCATTGATCTTTGATGGGCTGTCAAAATTGTATGCATATATATGTACACATACATCATATTTTTATGCCTATAAATTTGAAGGTATGTAGCAAGCAGAGAGAGAGAGAGAGAGGCAATGTCTGTGTATACTGTTTTAGAATAATCTAACACAGAAAGACAGCAGAAAGACCATTTATGCAAACTAGGCCAGACTGCCATCAAAACATTTTGCAGCCTCTGAGGACAGGGAGGGCAATGGCTGGTATGCCAGCTGCTGGGTCTAGGACTCAGCACTTCCTGCTATAACAACTGGTTGAAATCATCTATAAGAAAATGGATTGCAAAATTAATTTTATGAAACCACAATATTTGGAGATTAAAGCCACAATTCTCTGAATAAAATCTGTTTCCTCTGGAAGACAAACAAAAGACATGATTAAGCACTCAGTGCAATATCCTTTTTTCTGCCTTACTATCTTCTCTAAACCTCATTTCCACTTTAATACAAATTGTGAAGTAGTAGCATTTAAATGGGAAATCACATGGGAGGAGTATTCTGTATTGTTACTGAGATGCAAAGAGTGTCTCATTTTAATTTACTCTCCATTAGAAGAATGATGTTTAGAACATATCCATGCAGATTACTAAAGCTACCCTCAAATTACTGCTGGGAAACAGAAAACCTACCTTCAGAGGAAGAAGCTCTTGTGTTGGCTAGTGTCCCTCCCAGAATAAACATTTTGAAACAAAGCTAACTAAACCCACGGGAAACCATAAATTAACCTTTTTTAAGATTATGCTGATAAAATTATGAAGAGAGGCTTTTCTGTGACTGACTATTAAAAGTCGGAGTAAACACCTACACTATTCCTAGAGGCAAACTAATTCTTTTTCCAGACTTGGCTGACCAGGTAAGAAGTGAGAGGGGAGAAGAGACTGAATTACCCTGTCACATCAGGAGGGTATCTAGCTAATCCTGCACTAACTGAGCCTCTGAACTACATCTGAAAGGGCAGGATGAGGTGAGCTTGCACTGCCAGTTGATATTCTGTATGTGTCGTGCATTTCTGTGCAGACTCTTAGTTTCCAGCACTATATGTCTGGCAGCTTTTAAAGCAGTAAATTTATCTGAAAATTAAGAAGAGTTTTATTGCTTAAACAAGCCCTTTTATAACAGAAACTTGCCAAAAACCTCCCCTGCCCAACAACCCAATCATAGTTGGTGCATGAAGCAGGCTGTTTGATTTAGCATAAACTGCTTTTTGCAGGGGGAGTGTGTGAAGAGGAAAGAGCACAAATGGCTCCATTTGAGTTCAGATGCATTTCTGATGACTTAAAAAAACAGCTGAAAGGTGAAAAAATCTTGTGTGCAGCAAATGGGGATTTATAGGGATTAGAGTCACAAGTTTAGGATCTAGAAAAGCGTTTGTTTTGTATTATTATAAAAAAATTATGGATTAATTAAAAGAATGGTGATGAGGGGAATTGTTTTTGATTTAATACATAAGCACATAACTCTGGTTTGGGAGTGATGGGACAAAAGAGTCCCATTATTACCCATGGATAGCTGCCTGGGGTGCTTGAATTCAGCAGGATGGTTCAGCATTTGATGTGTGGGCAGACCTTAGGCAGTTTTTTAATGAAGTGCTGTGATAGATGCACACAGAAAATTCCAGGGTGATTTACATCCTCTGTGATACTGCAGAAGACAATAAGATTGCTTTCAGGGAGACCTAGGAGTTTTGCCTTTAGCATTGCTCATTTTATTCAACATTATTTTTTCTAATACTCTCTTCAGAATTACCTGCAACTTCTAATGGTTTCACATATTTTTGAGGTAGCTCCTGACCCCCATGAACCCACAAGTGTGATCACACAGAGGACACTAATTCCCTGGCAGCTTGGATGCACGCAATACATGAGCACTTAATGCAAGCAGAGATACAGGAGAAAAAGATCCACCTACAGAATCCAGTAACATGTGCTTAGCATGCCTGGTCAGCAGATGTGATCTCTGGCTTCAGAGGTTCAGAAACGTTCACTCCTGGACTTCACAAACCATTTTCTTTAAATTCTGAAGTGTTTATGTGAATTAATTGCATTTTCCTTTCATCTTGCCAATAGAAATATGGATTTTGCTAAAATTGGAGGAAAACTGGGACTCAGGAAATAAAGTTAATAGGCACATATGGGTAAAATATACCTACCACATACAAATGTGATAAAATTGATACCAAAAAAGTGATAAAAAATTAGTATTTATTATCTTTTTCCAGGAATCCAATGTCTCATCAAGGATTATTTTATATCGTTCTGTATGCAAGGAAAAATGTATTTTGCCTGAGAAACATTATGAGACATAGATTTTAACTCCAGAAAGAGATGCTTTAAAAAAAATAGACAAAATTAATTTTTGCCCTTGAAACAGCACAACCAGCTTGAAATAGCATGGTCATATGCCTTCTGATAAAAGCATGAAGAAGAGAGGCTTTTCTGTGACTGGGAGAGTCAAAAGAACAACCTTGTCATTTGAGGAAGTGGTCTTTCCCCCTGCCTGTGGTTTTTTAAGTAATTCCACATTTAAATTTATCAAATTAAGTCCTGACATCAGTATTAAGCATGTATCTAAAGCTACAGCTGGGGGTCTTTCAGTCAGAGTAGCTTAAAAGAAATTGTGATAAAAGTGAATATTTTCCATTTTATTTTAATGGAAAGTAGCATGTTAAAGTTGAAAACATCAAATGATGAATTGTCTTCTACTTGGGTGAATTTAGAAACCTCCCATAATCAATGAGGAGGGAAGAGAGACCGTTGTAACATGCAAGACATTTATCAGCTTTACCTGCTTGTGAGCGTGGTCATAAGAATTGATGTGGTTGTCAAATTCCTGGTGTTTGTGGTACTGCTTGTCACACAGTTCACAGTAGAAGTTAGCCTTCACATCCTCCAGGGCCTTAGCTGCAGCTTTCTCCTTCTCAGCGTAGTCCTGCAAAGGCAGAAGCAAAGGGATGCTCTTCACCTGAGACCATGAACTCCTGCCTCAGCAGCTCTTTTTATCAGGCACATTGCAAGCCCTGGACAGCTGGAGCACCAGACTCCATCCCAAACATGCTAAGCAGGTTTTGGTCTTACATGGGATTCATTAAAAGAGTTGTGTTTCTTGGGGAATTGTTCTTACTACTCATCGTAGGTTCTGCTGTAAGGAGAGAGGAACAGGGTGCAGAGGATTACCACCAGGATACTGCCGAGCCCCTGGGCAGCAAAGCTGAGCAGTGAAGAACCAGTAAACCCCCAGTGTCACCCTGTTAACTCAGCCCCAGATTGCCCCAATATCTGCTCTTTCAGGTACTGTTGCTCACAACAAATAAACTGGTTTAATCTGATATTATGGCAGATTTTATTTTGTGTTCTGCTTTCTGACTTCTATGGAATATTCACTGGGCCCGGCAGCAGATTCCTATGGCTGGCTGAGATTTCCCTGGAGTAGAGCCCCCTCTGCAAGAGCCTTTTCTGTTCTTCCCTGTCCTTCCCAACATGTGCATGAAGGGACACACCATCCAGCCTGACCAAAGTTAAAGTAACTCTTGCTTGCCTGACACAGGCCACAGCCACTGAGGAGAGCATTAGCTAATGCCCAGGCTCGTGCAAACACAGCTGAAAACAGGGAAAACACAATTAGTTCCTACATAGTTGCCTTCCATATCTCCCCAGTGACACAAGTGAGTGCTATGGAGAGTCAAACACTTCAATTCAACACATAATATTAGGTAAAAAAGAGAAAATTTCAAACATAGGAACCAGAAGTTACTAAGCTCAAATCAATGCACTTAAATAAAGGGCCAGATATGCAAAATTGGCAGCAGCCTTTCTCAATCTTATTTCCTTTAAAAGTCCTGTTGCTCTTATTTTTATGACACTTCCTCAAACATTTTGCATTAAAGTGCAAACTTCTGATATGGAAAACAAGAACAAAAAAAAGTTGGTAGAAGCAATTCATTTTGTATTCATATTGACAAGCTGATATTTCTTGAGTGCATGTAATATATTGCCAGGGATTGCAGTAATTCATCATTTGCTGTACCGTTTTACTCTCCTAGAGAAAGGAGCCCTTTCTGCTGCCAGGCTCTCCATGCTCTGCAGTCAGTGCTGCCTGCTGTCCACATGCTTTCACCACGCTTTGCATGACAAACTCAGAGTGCATGAAAGCCAGGACACGCTGCACATCTGGGACAGCCTGCTCTTAGCACATCACACTGCCCAGCCCAGCTCCAGGGAGCACAGAGGGCTGGAGGCTGGTGTTGGGTATGGCACATTAATATGAAGTTACATTTTGAGCCCTTCAGAAGGGGAGGGACTTTCTTAAAGAGTGGCATGATTCAAATATGAGACTTGGCCAAGCAACTGATGCTGGTTCTTCGTGTGACTCACTGAACTTTGCACAGCTCTGTGCTGTGAGCCCTTCTGTTTTGCCTCTTTTTCTCTTTACACCCTCATATTGCTGTGAGTAGGTCGTTTTTACACCATAGTTTTAGAGGCTACCTTTGCTGGTGTGATTAACTTCATCTAAACTTGGCTGTCTAAAAGTTGGGTGTACAGGTAAGACACAATCCTAAGCTTCTTCTGTAAGAAAGAGAAAAATGCTAGACACTGCCAAATGGTTATTAATCCCATCTATTTCAAAAACCCATTTTTGGATGAGATTAAATTCTCCTGAGGTTCTATCTCTCTCCAACCACTACAAGTCTCTAAATTACTAACCTGGCCTACATCCTTAATTCTTAGATTGCTGAACTCAAAGATAATAAATTCTATATTGTATTTCTTTAGATTCAATTCTAAATCTCCTCATGAAACTTGCATGAACTGACCTACTTGAAGACAGGAGGTCAAAGGGGAAAGCTGTGCCAAGAATTTTGATTTTACACCCTATCGATGATGCCAGTTCCTCCCAGAGGGGAAACATGCAAATAAATCTCTTTCCTGCAAGCATATAGCTCAGGTGGGTCAATATACTATAGTACACTAAAAAAAAAACTAACCTGAGCTAACATTTCTCCACTTGAGAGGCTGCTCAATTATGGTACTTAATCCTTGATTGTATCAGGGAGAAATATACTCACAATCAAATAGTTAAATAGCTTTCATTAGTTATTTAAATTTACAAAGCCCATTAAAAAGTGATACATTTCAGCTTATGCTTCAGACCCATTGTTTTGCTAGCATTAATTATTCACCAGGCCTTTGATATAATTAAAATGCATAAATTAGAATGTGGATGCAATAGTATTAATTATGCAGAGATGTTTTCCCTGAAAATCAAGTGATGGAGGCAACATATTTTTATTCTAAACTGGTAAAAATGTAAGTTTTGCACTCACTGGAAGCCAGCCAAAGCATAACTGTTTTGCAGGAGGGGTTGTGGGTTGGGTTTTTTTTGATTTGTTCTTGTTGTTCTTGTTTGTTTGTTTGTTTGGGTTTTTTTTGGGTTGGTTTTTTTTTTGCTTGGTCTGAACTGTCAATTAAGTGCTTACAGCCTGCTCCATCTTTCCTTCTGCTGAAGGAGAAGCCCAACTGTTTGGGGTTAATGCACTGCATTACTGTCTGTAAAGCACAGCTGAAACTGCTGCTCATGAGCATTCCAAACTGCCGACTTTATCTTTCTCAGCAGAAATTAATACAGCTTCCTTCACATAAAGATGTTTTAAAATAGCAACAAGGCAGCTCCCAGGTGCATCCTAAGATAATCACAACTACCTCCATTGCCTTATTGCTTAATTATGCTTGTCTACCATGGCAAAAGATATAACTTCCTGCTTGCTTATCGATCAGATGCAGGGAAATTGAATGCTACTCACATACTTTAGAAAGGTCATGGATTTTTTCTTTCTCTACAAAGACATAAGAACTTCTAGCACTACTGTAAATTGTGCATAGTCAAATGAATTTTCACATCCAGACTTCTAGTATCATCTCACTAGGATTGTAGAGACCTATGGTCAATTCTGATGGTGATGGTCAATTCTGATGGTGATGGTCAATTCTGGCATGGTGAATGTGATCACGTGGAAGAAAATCTATGGAGCTGCACCTGTAGAAAGCATACGTGATCATGAAGGCCTGATCACACAAATGCAGACACAGGCAGGCAGCAAAGATGCACCAACACATTTTGAACTCTGAATCTTCAATGGTAAGGAATATATGTGTCACAGTCTCATAAACTTTATTCTGGATCACACCGTCCTTAGTAGTGGCACATAGCCTTGGTAGACATGTGTATACTTGTAGGACATATAAATTAGCAGTTCTGTCTTTGAGTCATGGACAGCGGTGGTGCAAGCTCATGTAAGGGGTGGCACCATCCTTGGAGGTGAGAACTCCTGGAAACCATGGATTAGCCAAATGCTGTGGTGCTGGATGCAGGCAGGGAAGTGGATAAGGACAAACAAGTGCAGAATATGTCTCTAAATGCATTTTTTCTAGAAGCCTGCAAAATGGTTCCATATTATAGATTTTAATTGCATTCATGTCAATTTGACCCACAGAGGCACATAACTGTAATAATTGTTTATATATTGGATTAATTTTAAAAAAAATACTTCTCTTGCATGTTAGGCTAGAAGTGCTTTCACTTAGCAGCTACTTTTGCAGTATGCTTGGTATTGTGAAAACTCAATTAATGGTAGCTGACATTTCATTTTCTAATATGGGGAAAATCAATGAAAAATCCCATGTAACTGAGTTTTTTTGAATGTTGCCACTGACATCTAGTCAATTAGAAATCATTTATTAAATCTAGAGTCTGTAATATATATTTAATAGACTGCATGGCCATTAAAGGATGCTGATCTAGACAAAACAATACCACATTTCTTGTCTCAGTAACTGATAGTAAATATATCTGCTATGTTCAAATGGGCTAAAGTGAAAAGTAGGTCACTTGATAACAATAAAACGTACGGAGGCAATTTTCCACAAACCCATGGATTTCTATAAATATAGTGGAATAAATACATGGTACTTGTAATAGAATATGAGAGAAATATAGCATCATTAGCCCACTTTTAAATACCTATTTCTAAATTGGAATGCAAAATTAGTGACAGAACAACTAACTCACATTAATGCAGAGCTCAGTAAGTGACAGACTGCTTCCTCTTCGGGGACACAAGCAATCAGTTTGGTAACTTAAATATGATTTTGTGAACCAGATTAGATATGAATGCAAGTTTTAAATACTTATGCAGCTACTGAGGTACCTCTTGGGGGTTCTCAGGTGACAGGTTAAAGGAGAAATAGTATGAATATAAGCACATGAATTAGCTACAGATTACAGTCTACATGTAAGACTTTTAAATGTATTTTCATTCGTGATTTAGATGACAAAGTGAATTGTGATTATCTATGAAATTTATGAATTCTACTAATTAACAGCATAGGGCATACAAAGGCTTTAGGGACCTGAATCAAGACTCAAAATTCCTGTAATAATCTTCAGATATAATCTTAAATCAGCAAGATAAAATTCAGTAAGATGTTTGTCAAGTGCTGCAGTTTGGTGGGGTAAACCACGTTCATCAATGCTAGATTAGGAATAGCTGCATAAAAAAATACAAATGCAAGAAAAAAGGTCCATGAGTTAGAGTGGAAAAGAAACCAAATGAAAGTCAACAATGAAAGTCAAGGCAAATCACATTCTGACATGTTAATAGTGATGTTATAAGTAAGATGCTGAGGGTAATTATTCCACTTGACTCAGTATTGGTGAAATGTCAGCTGTAAAATACTACTTGGTACATCTACACTAGAAAATAACTTGGCTTCTAGAATCTGACCCTCTATCATTCCCATTATGTGTGTGATAGTTCATTCCTGGGCTTTTTAATTTCAGAGTTCCCTTTGAGATAAAAACGATTGGAGTTCCAGAATAACATCCAGTGCAGGGACCACCCTCTACAGGCAGGAAGGATGAGACACCACAAACTT